TCTGGAAAAATAACAGATGTATAACTATTATCAAACATTATGTACTCCAAACAGTCATATCAGATGTTACATATATTATAGATCAGTTTGCAACTAATAAGATAGGACCTATTAGACAAATCTTATCATATCAGTCCTAAATTAAATATAGTGATGTTAATTTGAATTGGTTTTAAAATTTCCAACTATTATTTGATTTTTATCAGTCTTATCAGGTTTTGTTTTTTCAAACTCAACAGTTCCTTTACTCATCAATTTTCTGGTTTTTTTTTTTCTTTTCTTCTTTCATTTGCTTTTTTGTCTTAATAGAACGGAAATGATGTATATTAATTTGAAAGTACAAATTTGTTAAATTTATTTGATTTCCAAAAATAATTCAACATATTACTGCATTATTAATAAAGGGGTTCACTTTCTTTTTTCATATTTCGAATTTTCTGGAAATATTTTTAAAACTTAATAAGATATCCTCAAGTTTGAAATGAGCCTGCAAATGCGCAATTGGCTGATTACAATGAAATGTAACTGTTATATTCTGATTATAATCTTATTCTTACTTACTTATTTTTGCAATATTTTCAAAAAGATATTTTCAGCTCAGAACAAATTTGATAATGATGAAAGATAATATTTCATTATAGAAGCTAATCTTTCTGATATAAAATGAAAGATAAAATGAAATTGACGTCTTGATGTATTTAATTAATTAATAATTTTAATAAATAAGCATCAAAAAGTTTTACCAGATTTCTAATTAAAAGATGAGTCATTGAGAGAATAGTTAATCATAACGGTATATTTTGAAGTTTGATGATGAGACGTTCCATTCTATTCCGTTGACAACAACAGATAAGGGTTGACATATACATACATAACCCGAATGAAGTCAAAAGGATCCGGCTCAACCGAATGATAACACGAATGATAACTTATTTAACACTGTTCTATTTTCTGATAACAAAGTTAATTTATAAGAAACAAATTAAACATATTATTTACATTCCCGCAAGATTTATAGTGCAAATTAATGAAGCTAAGTAAGAAATCTCAGAAAAAATATATCAATCATATCATCTTTTTTTATCTTAACATTAGCAATGTGAAACATCTGACTAATATTAAGACAGACAGATTGGCTACTATAATGTCCACTGATTATCAATGTGTATGACAGTGAGTGTGCTGACCGGTCACAAAGTGCTTTTCAATCAATTCTGTGATATGTAAAGAATACAGTGTAGGAAAAATGGCAAGTTCTTCAAGCTAATCCATTATAAGTTATCATCATGTCACAACTGTTTATCGTTATCAGTAGATGAAGTTGGAAATCTTATCAACTCACGATATATTAATTATTGCTGTGAAATTTGACGTATTCACGAAAAGATTCAAATCGAATTATTTCAAGTGAAAATTTATCGGCGTGAGATAAAACACGAAAGGAAGTGACAATGTTGGAAAGTTAACTGTCAATTAACCTATTTCGAACAATATGTGTGCGGGCTGACATATAGCTTGACTGAAGTTAAAAGGTCAATAGGATCCCGCTCACTGGTTGACAATCCATTCATTACCTATCTTTCCCGGGAACAAGGAAACATGACTATGATAACTATACGATACACGATACACATTGTATAGCAGTGATCAGACGACCTTCAGAATATATGATGCCATCTGACTACTACTCTACTAATTATAATTATCTATTAAGTAGGATATGATATATTTATGCTTTGCTTAATGAGCAATTATAATTAACAAATATAACAGCGACAGTGGAGAATTGAAATTTGCAAGGCAAGAGAGAAATAAAGAAAGAGATTTGTCAAAGCTGAATTGAAGTTGAGAGAGCAATTTGGAAGGATTTTTTTTTTCTTAGCAATTTACTTAATAATTTAGAATTAACACTATTTGAGACAAAAAGTGGTACTTAATTAAGTAGAAGTAGCAGATAGAACAAAGATCAGAAATGGAATCATATCATCACAATTAGGAAGAAATACAAAGTTCCAGAAGATTTTTTTGTTTTATTGGGAAATTTTAAATGAAAATTAATTTTAAATAAAAATTTCAAATGAAACGTAAGGGAAAGTTCAAAAAACAAAGAGAATTTACAAATGATTTAAAATTTACAAATGATTCAAGATGATTGTTTTTGCGAAGATAACATGACCTTTTGCTTATCAGTGATGATAATAATAACAATAATATGTTTGCTTTGGTAACATAGTGTTTTGCTTGTCAATGGTGATGATGATAATAGTAATAATAGTAATAATAATAATAATAATAATAATAATAATAATAATAATAATAATAATAATAATAATAATAATAATAATAATAATAATAATAATAATAATAATAAT